GGTGTGTGCGTTTATGTTTGTACCTTCATATATGTGGGAGTGGAGGGCCTCTTTTTTTTTTTTGGAAGGTGGAGTGAATGTTACGTGCTTAGGTGTAACTTTCATATTTTACAATTTAAAAAAAAAAAATATACATATATTTTTTTTTTTTTTTTTTTTTACACTTAATTTTTTTTCATCACATAGGGGACGAAGTCCCCTATGTGCTGATATTAGGTGACAGGTTTTCTTTATTGAGACATCCAAGGTCTAAAAGACCCTGCATATCTCCCTTGTACTACACTGAATATAAAGCAGTGCACATCGCACCGCATTATTTAGTAAATCTCTCAACGGGGACCCGGATGTGACATCATAACGTCACTTACGGGTCAGGACAAGAAGGGAAGAGGGAGTGGATGTGCCCGCTCACCTCCCTCCACTCTAGCTGACGGCAGTGAACCGGGCCCGCAGATGGGCAAGCGGAGGGAGAGGTTCACACGAGGGGGCGGAGAGGCTGGCACTGTGTGGAAGCAATCGGCGGCAGCGCTGCCATCGATTGCTTCCACCTGACAGATGAGCCCTGCTGCTTGCCCGCAGCAGGACTGAAGGTACATGTCCTGGGCGTCGGGCGATAGGAATTCAACATCCCTGTGAACGCTACCAGTTTGCAGACCCATTTGTCTGGAATGAGGAAGGTCCATAGGCCCAAGTGCCAGCAAAACAAGGAAAAACATGACCCACTGGCCTTCATTCTGAGGAAGCTGTCAGCAGGCTTGGAGGAACTCTGGGCCCAGGAGCTCTAGGCACTACCCGGGGGGCCAGGAACGCATGGATCCCTTGCCTGAGGAGTTAAAGGAATGAAAAAAGCCTCTGTATGGGCAGGAAAGAAAGTCCGCGATTACCAACGCGGTTCATTTCCCCTCTCGGCATATGGGAGTACAATGCCTCCCAGAAGGTGCTCTCCAAGGGAGCCCGTTGGAGACATTCTTTCCAGAAGGGCATATCCACCAAGCTGGTTCAGTAGTCAGGCCAGCATACCATCATATGAGCCAAGGCATCAGACAAGGTCTACTGGCGAGATGGAGATTTTGGAGAGGAGCGTGGCAGCATTCAGGGATGTAGCACACCCAGTACTTCCAGCCCTTGACCAACCAGTCTGCCAGATCCCAATACATCTAAACCACTCGACCGGTAGAAAAAATAGTGTCCCAGAACCTCGGCCCCTGCTGCAACGCTGACCCTGTAATGGAAAACACACGGTGGGTGACCAATCCTGCCCTACGGTTCACAGGATTTTTAAGTAAGAGAGACCCCTTCACACTGGTATCCAGTTACCGTAGACAACCTGGAATTAGGTGGGACTACTCCAGAGGCGAGGTCCACTTCTCCAGAAAAGCCTCTGCCAAAAAGAACAACGTACTGCAAAGGTCATAGGATAAGACAAAAGGACGCTCCATTAGGTTGTTCCCTGCTTTGCCAGTCTATGCACAAACAGGGGAACTGCTACTGTATTTGGAGCCCCTGAGGGATATTCACCAAGTAACGTTCATCACACTGGGGGAAAGAGTGTGGCTGTCAGCCCCCACTCTTGAGCAGGAGCAACGCAGAGGCCTTTGCGCCTCTCGCATAGAAATCCCCAAACTGCATTCTGAGATTACAGAAAAGCAGTGGGTGACAACCCAGGCCACCGCTTCCATGCTGAACTGTGAAGCAGAAGCTGCCACTGCCAGGCAGGACGTCACAAACTGTGTACGCCTACCATGATGCAGTAATACCAACCAATTCAGCAGCAGAAGGGTATAGGTGGGCCTCCCACAATTTGTCACGCTTGAAGTCTCCCATGTGGTGACCAGGCTTACTGTGAAAAGCGTCCCCAAAGGGAGGCTATACTTATGTGGGGAGAGGGCACCACTTCTGGGAGGGGAAGTCTCAATTCCAGTGTAACTTATACGAAAACTATAAAGGATGTATATATGATACAGCTGTGGACTGACACCTGTCATGTGGAAGGGCAGGTATCCACACTGACAGCCGGAAACTGGAGCCCCGCAGGCACCACGGATATGAATTCGAGCTCTCCCCTTAGATGCCACCAACAGCTCCACTCCCGATCTCAGGTGGACCGCTGCCATATACCCTTAGGAGTGCTCTATGGTAGAAAGGTGAGAGGAAAAATGGCAAATGTGCTAAAGCAAAATCATGCCGCACCGCTTCCAACAGCACGGACGTACCTGGGCTAATCAGCACCCTGTACCATGTGATTAGGTGTAGACAATCATAGATCACTAGTAATCACAGCTGCTATGAATGTCAACTATTCATGACAGGTCAAAACACTGCTGTTACAATGCTCATTAGCTCTCATATCTATCTATATATCTCTCTTACATACATACACACATATATATATATATATATATACACATACATACACACACACACACACACACACACACACATACATACATACACACATTTTATCAACGAAAAATCCAGAAAAAACACGGTACAAATGTTATAAATGGAGTTGCAGTTCAGTGAGTAAAAAAAGTATTTGATCCTCTACCAAACAATAATTCTGGCTCCCACAGACTGGCTGTATGTTCATGTGGTACACAGATTAGTCCTGTCAGTTTAAGAAGGTGCTCCTAACGACAACTCGTTATGTGTATAAAAGACACCTGTCCACAGAATCTCTTTCTTGGGCACCCCCATGGGCAAGACCAATGAGCCAGGGACAAATTGTAGATTTGTACAAGGCTGGAATGGGCTATTCAGATCATCAGCAAGAAGTGATCAGGGTCACCAGTGTCCCTGATCACCGCCACACTAGTCATATGATGATGCTGTACTGCACTGGTGACAGTATGTAAATAAATACATTGTGAAAAAAAAATTATGATTATTATTAATTTTCCAAAAAATTGTGAGGAATAATTACCAATTCAAAAAACTCGCCATGCCTCTCACTAAATACCTCAGCCTGTCTATTTTCCAAAAAGGGGTCATTTGGGGGGTATATGTACTGGCCTGGCATTTTAAGGGCCTCAAGAAATGAGATGAGGCCGTCAGTACATGAGAATTTTCAAATATACTATATTTACCATCATTTGTAGATGCTATAATGTTCACACAAACCAATGAATACACTTATTGGGATTTTTCTGTTTTTACCAAAGATGCATAGCAAAATAAATTTTGGCCTAAACTAATGACAAAATTTGATTTTTTTTTTTATAGAATATATGTTTTACAGCAGAAAGCAGAGAATATCTTTTTCAAAATTTTAGTTTTTTCATTTATATAAGAACAAACCCAGTGGTGATCAAATACCACCAAAAGAAAGCTCTATTTGTGTGAAAAATAAATTTCATTTGCTTACAGTGTTGTATAATTTAGCACTTGCCACTTAGCACAGTGCTAAATAGCAAAAAATGGTCTTGTCATAAAGGGGGTAAAACCTTACAGAGCTCAGGTGGTTAAGGCAGCAAGGGTAAACACACGCAACACTCATTATAATAAAAGAGTGTATTGTTCAAACCAGTTTAAATAATGCAGAAGGGGAAAATGCTCTGTGCTGTATGACAGGGCTTGACAAATCCAAGGCACCAGGTCGCCATGGCGACTAGAAATCTTGGTGCCTGGGTTCATACACTGCCTCCTGTTGGCTTCAGTGCAAAAACGCCTCCCACTGGCTTCAGTGCAAAAACGCCTCCCACTGGCTTCAGTGCAAAAACGCCTCCCACTGGCTTCAGTGCAAAAACGCCTCCCACTGGCTTCAGTGCAAAAACGCCTCCCACTGGCTTCAGTGCAAAAACGCCTCCCACTGGCTTCAGTGCAAAAACGCCTCCCACTGACTTCAGTGCAGAAACGCCGCCCCCCACTGACTTCAGTGCAAAAACGCCCCCCACTGACTTCAGTGCAAAAACGCCCCCCACTGACTTCAGTGCAAAAACGCCCCCCACTGACTTCAGTGCAAAAACGCCCCCCACTGACTTCAGTGCAAAAACGCCCCCCACTGACTTCAGTGCAAAACTCCTGTCCATAGAAATCCTATGTGAACACTTATCTCCACATACCACTGCACTCTATCACTTGAGAGTCTGGATGGCACTACTACAAAACAGGCACAGGATCCTGTAAGTAATGGCACTCAAAACACAATGTGTTTGGATCGCATTTGTGTGAACCACCTCAATAGGAACACATAATATTCAGCCTGTCATGCGTATCTGTGAGTTTGAAAATGCATCCAGAATCGCATATGTGTTAACCAGGGCGGCTCCTTTTACACCTGGGCGTTTTGGGATCGAGCCAGAATCGCTGTGATCGCAAAACGCAGTTTCAGGCACCATTATTTTTGATGACACCTAAAACGTGGTGTGGTTTTGCAGCGATTGTCTTGCAGCAAAATCGCATCGTGTGAAGTTTGTCACCCAAAAACTGCCTTGCCCAGGGAGCGGACAACCCATGCTATGCTAAAAAAAACTGGCTCCTAACTTTTTTAGCTGGCTCCTAGATTCAAAGAAAATGTGTCTAATCCTGTTGTATGCAATACTCTGCCTTTAAAATGACAAATTATACAATTACTCAATACATAAGACATAGGACAATGTCACTAGGCTAGAAAATGTGTTTTAGAGTAAGGAATTTACAGTAATGTCAACCAGAGACAACAGATGAAAAAGTAAAAAACAAAAACATTCATATATGAAATATCTTTCATCCAAACAAAGCTACCAGTGAGATTTGTGCCTTAGATTTCACTGTGGATTGCGACTTCATTTAACAGAAATCAAAACAAGTCAAAATTAAATTGATAAAAAGTAGTCCAGGAACTATTTTTGAAATCGCACTACTTCGGACTGCACTGATTATGACAGTGCCGGAGAAATACATTGGATGGGACTTAAGGTGCAATTTGTAAATTGCATGCTGCACCTGAAGTTGCACTGGTGTGAACCAGGGCTAAATGAGCCTTTGTTTAAAAAAAAAACAAAAACAAAAAAAAAACTTACACTGCTTTGGACTGCACAGTTGATTGTTCAGAGACTGTCTCAGTAGGTTCAATCTCCACCATCTGGTGTGAAACTAGCAGATATGAACAGAAAAGAAAAATAATTACTTAAAATATTTTATTAATATTCCTTCATTGGCAACAAAAATCCTCCCTCTGTAACAGAGGACATTTTCCTGGTCCCTAGCACTGTGAAAGCTATAACTAGAATGATGTTGGAGTTTGCACAAGTCTCTCAGTCCAAGAGACACTGGGGTGAAGGGGACTATATGTTGTAAAGATTTTGCAATTTTTTGGTTTGATCTACATGATGGGTTGTGTTTTAAGTAAAATGTTTGAAAGCTTCCTATGTGGATACTAATTCACGATAGATTTGGACCTGAGTAATTTAACACATGGTCTGTTACTGATAGCGGATTTCTTTCTTGGTTTCCTGTTTTTCCTTAAATGGAACTATAGTGTGTTGCTTTACTCATGAGTTGTACATTAGGCTAAATCTAAAACAAACAGTCTCACTGTACCACACAAATCCACAGTCAAAAGGTGTTTGAGCCGTTTTGTCACAGATCAATGAAAAGAGAGACCATCTTCATCAAAATACATTACGATCACTTGATTTCTAATCAATAGATAGGTTTGATGTGGACGTGTAAATTTGCTAAGGGTATAAGGGGTTCATTTGTGTTGCTAGACTGCTGTAGAGCTAAAATAAAGCAGGACTTACAAGAACTTGTGGTTCTGCATTCTTATTATAAAAAATGTTACATTTGGCTTCAAATGATCAAAACGTCCTGTGAGAATATTACACAAGAATTCAGTAAAAAAACTGAAGCACAGTGAACAAGCGACAGGGAAGGGGTGACCAACTGATAATATAGGATGTCCAAAGCAAAATGCAGGTAGTATTGATGTGCCGGGAAAATGGGGAGACATGCAAGTAGGCACTCTTAATATCTACAGAGGCTGGAAGGTCTCCCAGATGGAAGGAAGCAATAACTGACCTGGCAGATTGCATATGGAATTTTTTTTTTTTTTTTTACACAGAGGAAGGTATTGAGAACGATTAGATCCAGTATGGGGTGGATGCCCCCTTTTGCTTTAGGAACAGCAAGCAAAATGGAATAGAATCCCTGAAATGTATCCTTTTTTGGGACAATGGCTTTACCCCTTTGAGAGAAAAGCTGTACTAAAGCAGAGTACAGCTCTTATGTTATGAAATGTCTTGGAACCAGATGGCCATGAAGGCCAACAGATGTCGCCCCACTCTTATAAGTGACTCTGACATTGTGAGAAGGACTCTCTCGCAGACTTGGGGGATCCAAGTCTTAAGGATGAACGGTGTTCCAGGCTTCGTCTTGGACCTGCAGTCCTGAGAGAGATGAAAGGGACACTTTTTAGCCTCTGGTGGAGAGGTTTTCCCAAGATGGAGATTTTGTCTTCTTTTTTCTGGGGCAACACAGTACTCTTTACCCCAATTATTTCCTTAGTTGACCAGGGATTCGCCAAAGAAGAGTTTCCCATCAAAGGGCATACATAAGAAGCAATTCTTCATCCTGTGTCCTGTCCCTTTATACTTCAACCTATGTTCTCTAATGCACAATTAGGACAAATACACACATGTAAATGAAGAAACCCATTCCATCTTTTCAGATCTGCAAAAAGGCTGCATTAAGCCAACCCTGGCTTGAGCCCCCAAACTCCTAAGGTTCCCATATTGCTAAAGTAAAAGCAACTCATAATCCCTTGGAGTATTCTTGTGTAATTTTTCAATGCATTCTCTGTAGAAGCCATAGAGCCCCAGGCATACTACACCCAGGCTGTACAAACGGCCTAGATTAAATTTTCAAAGCCTGATTTTTTCAAGCACTAAACAACACAGACACCACTCCCTGATGATCACCAGAGCTTCTACTGGTTTGGTATCAAGAAGGGTAGGGCTTGACTAAAAGAGATAATAATGCACGTTTACAGTGGACCCAGGATCCATGGAGGCTCCATAGAGATGCAGAAGATTTTTTGAAGACATTAGAAAGGTTATTGCAGACAACAAGAGATACTTGAACCTCAGAATTTTTAGGTATACTTAAAACTGGATTTCATCTGCAACTTACCACTGGATGATTTTGATCTTTCTACTTTAGATTTTAGATTTCTTGGAATCTGTATTCTTTCACGGTTGGTATCATAAATCAGATCTAAATTTTCTTCTTCAGCCATTTCCAATTCTTTACTTGTTTGCCTTGCCTGTTGGCTGGTAACAAAAACAATGGCACAAAATATCACTTTAGGATGTGGGGGGGTTGATGCATATCAACCACAAACTGTCATGTGTAAAACCATTAACAATTAACACCTCTTGAACAATCCATAATGATTTACAATTTTGTGGATGAGTATCTCAACAACTTTATGAGCCACAAAAAAAAAAAAAAAAAATAGATTAGCAAAATAAAATATAAAAACTAACAAAAACAAAACAAAACAAAAAAAAAAAATCTTACATAGTTTTGGAATAAGGGAGTGACTGTTCGGACATGCCCTTGAACTTAACGGACGATCTCGGACTCTCATACGTAGCTAATATAGATTTTAGGGATACATACAGAAAGAGAACATTAAGTGTTAGATATTTACAGATTAAAACTTCAAACAACAGAATGGCTACTGATATACGTATTACTACAAAAGAACATGAGTGGTTTTACAGTAATTATTTAAAGTGGTTCTAAAGGTTTTTTACCTTCATGCATTCTACGCATGAAGGTAAAAAATCTGTGTGCAGTGTCCTCCCCCCCAATCCTTACCTGGGCCCCTCCGATCCAACAATGTTCATAATAGCCTCGCCTGTATGGGGACTCTTCAAACCACAGCTCTGTGAGTCTTTTGGACACATAGAGCAGCAGCTGTGTGCAAAACTACTGCACAAAGCAAGTATTACATGTCTGTTATTTTATGTTCGGACACTTTCACTCCTTTCCTGTCCAGGCCAATTTTCAGCTTTCAGTGCTATCACACTTTGAATGACAATTGTGCGGTCATGCAACACTGTAGCCATATACATTTTTTAGCATTTTTTTTGACAGATAAAACTTTATTTTGGTGGTATTTATTCACCACTGGGATTTTTTTTTTTTTTTTTGCAATATAAATGAAAAAGTCCAAACATTTTGGGAAAAAAAAAAAAAAGTACTGTCATCCTAGCTAGCAGTAGTGACACAGTACTTCTTGTGGGGGGTGATGAAGATTTTTTTTTTTTTTTTTTTTTTACACTGATTGCTTTTACACTCATAAAGGCTGTAAAAGCAATCATTTCTCCTTCTCTCTGGCTGCATTCTTGCAGCCATTGAGAAATACTGTGAGAGCTGTGATTGGTCACAGCTTGTCACATGGTACAAAGGCTGTGAATAGCCTTGTACCATGTGACCTCTGTGATCATTCACAGATTTCACTAGTAGTAAGCAATGATGTCAAAAGAACAAGCTCTCTTGCAGATATATCAGTTATAGGGATTAAACAAACCATTTGAAACTGGCAGGGGTGCTTAAAGTGATCAGTTTTTATTGATGTAAAACATTTACCCCAAAAAAACTGTTTGCTATAACTGATTGTAAAGTGTTATCTGGAGTTTAGTTTCAATTTTTTGTGTATTTAAATCTGCTAGTCAATCTAACATTCCCCTCCCCCCAAACTGATAATGCTGGTGCCCAAAAGTGTCCCCTGTGCTCATTCATCCAGTGTTATTAGCCAGATCACCAGGTAAAAACAGTGGAAAAAAAACTAAAAAGGAAAATTAATGTAGCCATGACATCTAATGATTGGTAAGCTGCAATATATTACATTTTAGAATTTTACCGCTTTAACCGAAGCATACATTACTCTCTTTTTTCATTCAGCCAGCTGAACAAAAAAAACTGAACTGATTTCCTCATTCACCCATTCGAGGTGGATGGGGAAACCCTCCGTGCTGTTTCTTTGAATTCTGACAGCAAGACTCCCCCGCTGTCTAAATAAACTGATCAGTGCTGAAGCCCTGCATGCGCTGATTGAATACTGATTTTGCAGCAAGACCGTTTAACAGAAACCAGTTATTAGACCGACTTCTTTTGAACAAAGAGGGATCCACACAGATCAAATTTCAATCCATGTATGGCCAGCTTTACGCCCTAAGTGAGTTTTCAGAGACAGAGTCACATCTTGGGCTGTACTATGGCTTTGGACCCAGAAAGCGCACTGCTGCTAACAGTATACTAAAGTCTGGAAAGTGCCACAACGAAGAGCTCAGTGCCTAAAGGTCATGCTGCAGACTAACTTTGCATGTCCAGTCCAGCGGGGTATGGAACAGTCTAATGCTCAAGAGCTGTTGATCCTGACAGCTGATGTATAGAGACTAGCTCAAACAGAGGTGTAGCAAGTTATCTTGAAGTCACTGGGAAAAAATTCCAGCAATGTAGAAAGGATTTTGATTGAGGTCACCAATGAAAAATCCACAAAGTTAGAAGGCTAGAAAAACCTAGTTAAGATTTTTTTCAGCAGAGCTGAAAAAAGGTGTGCAACCTGCTAGGACACTAGCAAAAAACGGATGCATGCTGGGTAGTAGAGAGGCTCTATGAAAATTGGCTTATGGTTTTTCTGTTTGCCAGTGTCCCAACCTCTTGTAGGCAGCAGAATAACCAGACTGTTTGTGAATTTCTATGTCCTTCGAAGGACAATCAACAAAAAAGATGTATGCCTAGGAGCATTCATATGTAAGGTATGTACACTGCTAATTTTAAAAGTTCACAATCAAACACTATGCGGCATCTGATCATTAGTGAGCAGGGTGCTGAAGTGACAAAATGAAGATAAGTAATGCCAAAGAAAAACAAAACAAAAAATAAAAATATGTATGTGATGTCACCAGCAATGATCATGTGATTGTAACTGAAAAAACATATTACATATAAACTATGACAAAAAGGAACAGAAAGCACATAAATAAAAAAAAAAAGTGACAATCATGGCAAAAGCTAGTGTGCACTGATACTGATGCCTATACTAGGCATTTACACCAGTATCGGTACTTGTGCAAATGCACCAATGCTTGAAACCGATACCTCTAGGCTAATTTTTTGTAAAATAATAATAAAAACAGGTGGCAGTATACCTGACAGTATATATATGACTTTCTGTCTCCCTCAATGGATAAGAAAAAAATACTTCTAGGCAAACACCGCAATAACAATTAAAATGTGTACTACAGTGCCTTAAAGTATTCATTTCCCTTGAAATTTTCTAAATTTTGTCATGTTACAACCAAAATGATAAATGTATTTGATTGGGATTTTATGTGATAGTCCAATACAAAGTGACACATAATTGTGAAGTGGAAGGAAAATGATAAATGGTTTTCAAAATTTTTTCCACTTTTGTGCAATTTAATACAGCTGTTCTGTGAAGCCCTCAGAGGTTTGTTAAAGAACATTAATGAACAAACAGCATCATGAAGGCCAAGGAACACACTAGACCAGTCAGCGATAAAGTTGTGGAGAATTGTAAAGCAGGGTTAGGTTATAAAAAAATTTCCCAAGGTTTCAATTTTTCACAGAGCACTGTTCAATCCATCATCCGAAAATGGAAAGACCATGGCACAACTGCAAACCTACCAAGACATGGCTGTCCACCTAAACTGAAAAGCCAGGCAAGGAGAGCATTAATCAGAGAAGCAGTCAAGAAGCCCATGGTAACTCTGGAGGAACTGCAGAGATAGGAAGATGGATGGAGCCAAATACAGGGCAATCTTAAAAGAAAACCTATTACAGTATGCAAGACTGTAGATATTGAATTAAAATTCATGGAGGTCCGGTCATTAAAACTTTCATCCAGCGAAGGTCCGAGTCTCATGTTTGTGCTATGACTCGGGTTCTTCATATCACAGTCCCAACCCCTTACATTACAGTTTCCCCTTTACATCACAGCCCTCTTCGCATGACAGCCCCCCTTTATACCACAGTACTACCTTTAAAATTGCTGAACCCCTATTTACATCACAGCACCCCTATTTACAATACAGCCCCTTCTTTACATCACAGCCCCCCTTTGCATTTAAATCCCCCTATATTACATCACAGTGCTTCCTTTACTTAATTGTCCTTTGTCTCCCCTTCACATCACAATGCCCCTCACCTTTACATCAGTGTCCTCAGCCCCCACCTCACATCCCAGTCCCCCCCTCCCCTTCACATCAGTATCCTCCGTCACCCCTTTACATCACAGCCCCCTTACCTGAATCCTAGTCCCGTCACAGCCCCCATTCCTTGCACCCCAGTCCCCTTTAAAGCCCCCCTTACTTGCATCTCAGTCTCCTTCACAGCCGCCCTTTTTTGCACCCTAGTTCCCTTTAAAGCCCCCCCCTTACATACATCTCAGCCCCCTTCAAAGCCCCCCCCCCCCCCCCTTCCTTGCACCCCAGTCCTCTTTACAACCTTACTTGCATCTTAGTCTCCTTCACAGCTCCGCCTTACTTGCACCCAAGCTGCCTTTACAGCCCCCCTTACTTACATCTCAGCCCCCTTCCTTGCACCCCAGTCCTCACAACCCCCTTCCTTGCTCCCCAGTCCACTTCACAGCCCCGCTTCCTTACACCCCAGTCCCCTTCAGAGGACATCCAGGCTGCTAAGTGTCGGAGCCGCGGTCTGTATAGGATTGTCATTCGGTCCATTTGCGGTCCGCCATTTAGTGATGCCTGACATAGAGCCAGAGCTACAATGGAATGGTTTAGACCAAAGCATATTCATGTGTTAGAATGGCCCAGTCAAAGTCCAGACCTAAATCCAATTGAGAACCTGTAGGAAGACTTGAAAATTACTGTTAGCAGACACTCTCTATCCAATCTGTCAAAGCTTGATCTATTTTGCAAAGAAGAATGAACAAAAATGTCACTCTCTAGATGTGCAAAGTTGGTAGAGACATACCCAAAAAGACTTGCAGTTGTAATTGCAATGAAAGGTGGTTCTACAAAGTATTGACTCAGGGGGGCTGAATACAAATGCACGCCACTGTTTCTGATATTTATCTGTAAAAAATTTTGAAAACCATTTATCATTTTCCTTCAACTTCACAACTATGTGCCACTTTGTGTTGGTCTATCACATAAAATCCTAATAAAATACTTTTGTTTTTGGTTGTAACATGGCAAAATGTGGAATATTTGGAATATTTCAAGTGGTCGAATACTTTTTCAAGGCACTGTAACTGGAAATATATACCACAGCTTCTCTTTTGTTTTGTTTGGATCTTACCACTTGATGGTGTCAGCTTCACTTCTTCTGGTGTTCCACTTCTTATAATAGTTTTTACTTCCATCAGTGGTGCCCTTTCTGTTCACATTAGAACCCTTTTCCTTCTTTGTAGTTTGGCTGCTTCATCAAAAGAAAGGTTTTTATTTGCAAAGGAGGATTTAGGGAGTTAATTAAGTTAAAAAGAAAAAAAACTGTCATATGTGGAAAAGATATACCAAAACAATTTCCTAAAAGTTTACAGAGCTCGATAATGCCTTAGCTGCACTGGATCATTTTTATTGTTCACATCAACAGGTTTCAGGTATGGTAAAGAATGAAGGCAATTTTACAATTTAATAGATATTTTGTATACTAGATTAATGTTGACATATGTTTACAAAATATTTAAAAAATACAATTAAAACACATACCCTTTTCTCAAACGAAAAGGTGATTTTCCTGAAATAACCTTAGGAGCTTTAGGTTGCAGTTTTCGATTCCCATGGGTACCTGCACATTAACATATGCCCAGAAAGAGAAGTATTAAAAAACACACAACTGAACATGCTAATGAATCAGCAATGTACTTTTTAAATGTATTAAATGCTCCTTTGTCTCCAGGTGACCAATTGACACAACCCAACAAAGCTGCAATACATCCTGACCATTGGGTTATATCAACATCTACAGGAATAAGATGCTAGGTACAAACAAAAGACACAAAATATTTAACAGTATCACTTCTGCGCTAAGGTATGCCACCATTTCTTATGAGGAGGCTCTCTCTAGATTCCAGGAGTCTACGTCACACAAACCAGGTCATGGTCTTCTAGCATCTACTTGGCCTTGCTGCCCACCTCTGGCTGGGGGATCCATAAACACTACAAACAGAAAAACAAAAGAGGGCACGCCGGTCATGTGCATTAACCATGATGCCTTTTATTTAATGATAAAAAGTATTGTGCTCACAAAAAATGTGGCGCTTCAAGCACAACACAGATTTACAACAGATTAACCAGAATTAATAGCACCCCTCCAAAAAGACCGGAACAATGTTAAAGAGATCTGCAGAAGCTTCTGTGTTTCGAGGGTGCCCCCCTTCATCAGAGCAATTTCATGTTTTCCTCTCATAAAGAGGAGGCATCCTCGAAATCCGTAAGCATCTGCAGAACTCTGAAACATCATTTGGATCCATCGGAGGGGTGCTATGAGTTCTGGTTGATCAGTTGGATATTTGGGTTGGGCTTGAAGCTCCACATAATATTACTAAATGTGCAAAGCTTAAGTATCATTTAGTAAATAGATACAGATAAATTATATACAAAACCTCTCATTAAAGAAAAAGTAATGATCATAGGAATAGTCCCATACTATTCACTATTTCTAGAATGAGAGGTTTTGTAGATAATTTATCTATCTGTCTCTGTTCACTACAGCTTAATGTATTTACTGAATGATACTTTAGCACTGCACATTTAGTTATATTATTTGTTTGGGGTTGGTATTACATCCTTTGTGCTGGCTACTTTTCTTAATTTTTTCAACTAAACGCTGAGTTTTTCACATTTGAAGCTCTACGTTTTGAAAAGTACAATGCTTTTTACCGCAAAAGGTGTCATGGTTAATGCACAAGGTTGAGGTGCCCTCTTTTGTGCTATACAAACAAAAGACAACACCCCCCCCCCCCCATAACTGCATCAACCAACTCAAGGGCAAGCCGTACGCTGTTTAAAGGCATACAAAGCATAGCCACAAAACTGAGGGCAATTGCTGTGTCCTTTAATGAATGTAGTGGAAAGGGGTTTATAGTACTAACATCCCATTTTGTCCTCTATTCATGGACTGATACAGCCAGATCTTCAGACCTTGACCACTGAGATGTCCCAAAGGACTGTCAAATAGAGGGTGGGCTCAAACATAAGAAGAGTAAAATAAAATCAAAAAAAAAAAAAAAAAAAAAAAAAAAACACAGAAAAAGACCCCTTTTTGTGAAAGGGTGAGCTAGAGATGTTCTCAAATAGAGGGGTTGGAGGACCCAACAGCAGCAAACAGATCCCACAGAATCAAGAGACAGTTTTGCCAGGGCTAAAATCAGTTGAGTGAGGAAACCTGACCCTTGACAGTACCTTAGTCCACCCATGGTAGAAACTCAGCAAAGGAAAACTGCCAAGGGTGAGTACCACAGGACATGCAACAGGCAAAATAGGCCTTCCACGTCCAGTAAAATATCATCTGGGAACTGGACTTATGAACCCTCAGCATTGTAGAGATCACCACAAAAGAGAGACCCCTATCCTTCAACTTCTGGCTTTCAACAGCCATGCCATCAGCCTCTAACAGTAAAGCAGGATGGAAGATCATGCTCTGCAATAGAAGATATGGATGTAACGGTACTCGCCAAGGGGCATCTGCAACCAGATAAATGATGTCTTGGTACCAGGCCTGATGTGGCCAGTCTGGAGCCACTAGAATTACTAAAAGGCTTTCCAGCTACAAACTTTGCAATAACTGGGGCAGATGTTTCAGAGAAAGAATTGCGTAAATCAGGGAGTATCTGTACCACAGTGTTACTCGCGCATCTGGCGCTTCCACCCAAGGATCCCTCATCCTAGCCATGGACCTGGGACACGTTTAGGTAGAACATAGATACTAGAAAATCTATATCTGGCACGCTCCACCGAAGACAGATTTGATGGAAAACATCTTGATGAAAGGACCGCTCTCCCTGATGGCTCAGATAGTCTGCCTGCCAGTTTTCCATTCCTGGAATGTGATCTGAAGACAAGGACAGAAGGAAGGAAAGATGACCAGAGACTGCGGACACAGGACAGGAGATGACCAGAGACTGCGGACACAGGACAGGAGATGACCAGAGACTGCGGACACAGGACAGGAGATGACCAGAGACTGCGGACACAGGACAGGAGATGACCAGAGACTGCGGACACAGGACAGGAGATGACCAGAGACTGCGGACACAGGACAGGAGATGACCAGAGACTGCGGACACAGGACAGGAGATGACCAGAGACTGCGGACACAGGACAGGAGATGACCAGAGACTGCGGACACAGGACAGGAGATGACCAGAGACTGCGGACACGGTACAGGAGATGACCAGAGACTGCGGACACGGTACAGGGGATGACCAGAGACTGCGGACACGGTAGAGGGGATGACCAGAGACTGCAGACACGGTACAGGGGATGACCAGAGACTGCAGACACGGTACAGGGGATGACCAGAGACTGCAGACACGGTACAGGGGATGACCAGAGACTGCGGACACAGTACAGAAGACCAGAGACTGCGGACACAGTACAGAAGACCAGAGACTGCGGACACAGTACAGAAGACCAGAGACTGCGGACACAGTACAGAAGACCAGAGACTGCGGACAGTGCAGGGGATGACTAGAGACTGCAGACCGTACAGGAGATGACCAGAGACTGCAGACAGTAAAGGAGATTACCAGAGACTGCAGACCTTTGGGGAGGGAGGGGGAACAGGTACCTGAATTTGACAGGTACCCGCTCCCACTTCCGGAGTTGTCCTTCCTTCTTCCCGCGGCGGCTTCTATGACAGCCGGGTGCCCACTGCGCATGCACGAGAAGCGCTGCGCTTTGTGAATGGCCTGGAGCCTTCTGGGACCTGTCATGTGTCCCAGAAGACACCAGACCATTCACAAAGCGTGGTGCTTCTCGTGCATGCGCAGTGGGCACCCGGCTGTCACAGAAGCCGCTGCGGGAAGACTGCAGCGCTGAAGCGAGGAACAGGTAAGGTCCTGCAGGAGAGAAGAGCTAAGCGGCCGACCCGATATTCTGACATGGTGGCGGCAGAAATACCGGACCGGCCGCTTTACATTCGCTCCATAAGACGCACTGACATTTTCCCCCCTTTTTTGGGGGGAAATAAAGTGCGTCTTATGGAGCGAAAAATACGGTATGTATATTTTATGCATACTTTTTCCCAACTTGGCAGCAATTTCATCTGGTACTCACTGCTGGATGTTGCGGATTTTGTCTCTTTTGATCCAAGTGATGATCTTTTATTTACTGAAGAGAAAGTCATATTAATACTTTGTTCATCTTCTATTACAAATTCGTCATCATCCCTGGAAAGAAAAAAAAAAAATGTTTAGCTCTTTTCAGTATTCAATAAAATTTCAGTATATCTTGTAAGTTAGTCTCGGAGCAAATGATATGCAAAAGAAGGGTCGGAAATATAGATACTGCTGTTGTATTTTTTTTTAATACATCCCACAAAAACCTAAAGCTAAAGTTTAACCCCTTACCACCGTTGCTTCTTGGCAAGAGGTGGACATTCGGATCATGTGACAGCTGTGATTTGCTGTCACAGGATGGAAAGCTCCCAATCACAAGTATGCAATTGTTGGTTAATCTGCTTATAATTTTGCCTTCCTGGTTCCTCCTTTTCCCCTGCAAGGGAAATGCAGATGACTGCAGATTCTAATACACACTGTGTGAAAAAGTAAAAAAGAATAAGTGCACTAATACTTCAAGGTAAACTTGCTGCAAATGTAGCAGACTGCGCAAATGATGAAAAACATGCAGAAGCAAAAGTTACTTTCAGAGACAAATAATATTAAATTTGTTAAAGAGAGACAGACCAAAGCAATAATACCAGTAAAATAAAAGCTTAGTTTTTGTTGCCCTCTTCCCAAGCTTATAAACAGCTTTGACTTTTCCAGAAATTAATCAGCAGCCTATCTCTGAATCTACTATTAACACTGAATTATTATGCATATTTTTTTATAGTTTACTCAGTGTGCACATTCCAGGGATGTGACAATTTTACTTTAGTTGACCTCTCCTTTCCTTTGAATATAGAAACTGCTCAAGGAGTTAGCATCACTTGATATTACGTTCTGAAATGCTGCATGATGGTGCAGCCAGTCACACCTAAGCCTTCAGCACAATACTTACTAACAGTCCAATCGTAATTCATCATCTGTTATTTCAGAAAATTACACTAATTTACTAGTAAATTAGTATATTAAAATTAACCAAGACAAGAAAATACGTACACCATGGCCACACATTCTGCAGCTGTTGCAGTGGGTCTTCGATCAGTCATGTTGCCAGCATAACTCACAGATTCATGCATCTGCATTGTTTGAACATCTTCTGCTGTCCTCTTTTATATCTGCTGGCAAAGACACTTGGAAAGCCCTCTTTGCCTTTTACTATAGCATCACTGAAAAACAACCTGTATTTAAATAAAGACAGCATTTCATGCAAATGTTAGATATATTTTCAAATTACAGAAAGATATACTCCCACCAATTCCTCTGCCACTACACAATTTTCTTATACAGTAAATCAAGAAATCCAGAAGAATATACCATAATCCAAATTCCCACTTCAGTGATCAATACAAATCCAAAAAAACCCTTCCTCAATGGATTACTCATAAAAACGTAGAAAAAAACCCCCAGGAATAAATAGGAGATTAATTTCACCACGATGAAATCCCTGTCACGGAAACACACTGGCCATTAGAGACTCAAGGATATCAAGAGCCAACAAGTGAAAAATAATGCTGGAGTTAACCCAAGGCCCCTTTTCACATGGACAGACTCCGGAAGTGGATTTGCCAGCTCAGCAGGGGATCTGTCTGCTGATCCCTGCAGAGCAGGCGGATGACATGTCCTTAAGTTGAGCAGACATGAACACAGCCCGCACTCCTCTATGGGCAGTCGGATGAAAAGATACAGGTGGTCCATCTACATCCAACTGTCACCTGATCAACGGATAGGGAATGGATACCCATCTGTCTGTTTTTAGTGGATCGGATCAGATGCAGGTGGGTGTATACAACCGCCCCTTCACAGAGAACAGGGGATTGTCCACCTAAAAAACGGACAGGTGGACCCCAACAGCCTGCCCGTGTGAAAATGCCCCACGACTGAAATATCAGTCCTGAATAGTGTTGGACTCTAAGTCTTACTACTAAAGCAGTCACATAAGATATTCCAAGTACATCAGTACCATTATAATCTTTCCTCAAGTGGATAAAAAGAGAAATTTTGACCTAACTGTAAATTCCTTATCTTGGTGTACAGTATAGAACACAGGACATCATAGGCCATGGGTTATATGCAGGATACCTCTAAAAGACCATCCAAAACTTGCTAAGGCTACTCCTAGAGCACCCTCATATAACCTCTCCCACTCCACAAGCTTACAGTTTTTTTTGCAAACAATACTCCCTATCCTCACATCAGGTAAAGTAAGCCTTCCAAATATGATGGTAAATCTTGTAGGAGTTGGATTTTCTTCCTATGAGTAAGGTAGGAATAACAGAGTCAGAAATATTCCTATGCTTCAGGACATAGGATTCAACAGTCATGCCATCAAAGCCAGTGACTGGAAAGCAGGATAGAATGGGGCTTTGGGCCAGTAAGTCGGACCAGTTAGAAAGAGGCCAAGGCTTGTCTGCCAGAAATCTCAGTATGTCTGTGTACCACATCCTTCTGGGTTAATTTGCGGTTATGAGAATCACCAGAACCCTTCCACCCTTTATTCTGCACAACAGTAGAGGGAGGATCTTCATAGAAGGCAATGCATAAATCAGTATGAATTGACCTCAAGGATTCACCACTACATCTACTGAAGCTTGTTGAACCTGGAGGCTAAGATATCCATATCTAGTTTTTTCTACCTTTGACAAAGATTTTGAAACATTTCAGGGTGCAGAGAGTCCATTTCCCTGAGTCTTTGCACTGGAAGCCTTGGAAGTCCACCTACCAAATCTCCACCCCAACGATGAGTAATGCTGAGATAGCTCAAACGTGAGTTTCTGGTACCCCCCTTGATAGTAAGTTTAGGCTACTGCTGTGGCTACTACTGTCCAACAAAACCCTGACCAGGTGACCCTGCAGAAGGGGATTCCTGTATTGTAGAGTCAATCTGATAGCTCTCCTTTTCAAAATACTGATGGGGAGTTTTGAACCCTATGTAAAAGGTTGACTTTTCCAACTGTAGGGCAGAGCTGGAGGGTGGTTTTGTCCAGCTAGACAAAGCATTGGACAACCTTTGGATTGGATTTGCTTCTTTCTTGCCATGAGGATGTTGGATTGAAGAAGTCTGGAGTGACACTGGGCAACGGGAGCTGCCTCAAAGGGTAGCATGAGGCCCAATACCCTTGTGCAGCAGCAAACAGAAGTGCAATTTGGATCCGAGGGTCCATGTGTGGGACCTTAGAGAGAAAAAAAAAAAACTTTCTCCTGAGAAAGGAATATTCTGGCTTGGACTGTATCCAGGATTAGCCCCCAGTACTCCAGATCGTGTGAGGGCTGGAGGACAAACTCTGAAAAGTTGATTATCAAGCTGAAAGGTTAAAAGAAATTAATTGTCCTCCAAACGCTGGCAGACCAAAATTGTTGCTGAGAAGTCCTTCAGCAGGAGACCATCCAGTTTCCTTAGTGGTGTGACCCTCCTGCGCTTCAAGTGTGTGTTTAAAAATGATATTAAACCAAATGAATAAATGGGTGTATGTATCCCAAAGGGAGCTGCTAGCATTAAATCATATACCAGTGATCAAGTGAATATAAAACATAAGGAATGCTGCGCTACATTCAAATCAATTTGTGAATGTGGGATCCCAAAATATTAAATCAAAGAGTGTGACAATATTACCAATATTAATCTATAGGTGCTTACTGATACTATCAAAATCAATAAAACACTTAAAAATAATATAGAAACACAAAAAACTGTATCTATACGTATGTGCATAAATACAAACACATATATATATATATACTTAAAACACACGTGCCTGTTGTGAAGTGAAAAAGAATGACCAAAATATTGATACACGCAAACTTATATCTCAAAGTCCAAAAATAGAATATTGTAAGTGAAAAACAGTAAACGGTGCTTCCAAATTATACTGTTAGTGACCACGAGTGAAAAAATCGTGCAGGTTTCTGGGTGTATATAGATCTATGAATCCAACCACCTTCTGGATTGGCCTCTCACCTCATCCCTTCGACCCTTGCGGGTCAAAGAGCAGTAGTGGATCCCTCTCACAGATCCTCCAGGTACCAAAGCACTCCAAGACAGCTCTCAGAATATAATATTCCCACTCAGGCTCTTCTCCAGGAAAAGTTGAAATATCAATCTCTCAGAATGAGACAAAAGAATCCTCCCATAGTGTAGTATATTTATTATACCATAGGAACATGTAACAAGTGTAAATAAGAACTCACGTAGCAGCCAGTCCACATTAAAGCCTCATGCTTTCCTCAGATGAGGATATGTCTGTTGGGTGTACAGCTGGAATGCACAGTGGGTGTGTCCAGGAGATGGCCGCCACGCAAGGGTCGAAGGGGAAAGGCCAACGTCACCCGAAACCGCTACGCCAACGCGTTACGGTTTTTCACAATATGTCATGTGACTTCATCATTTTGGCTCAGTATTTATGCACCTGTATAGAAGTCTATATTATGTGACATTGTGACGCACCTATGTATTGAACAAGTCCAAAATTTTTACAGCCCGCCTGGGCTTTCACAAAGTAGGGGGT